TCATAGAAAGGAAAAGAAAGCCAAGCTCTTTAATATGCTTTGGACATAACCAGCTTTAAACCTGCTTTATGGTAATGATAGGTAACATGCAATGGAAAGCCTTTGGCCCAATAATGGAGAGACTTGGAGTCACAGGTCTGCCACTAACTAGCTGTGAGGTCCTAGACAGAATTACATAGCTCTAACCAAGAAACGCGATAGCCATACCACTCTTGTCATAGCTTTGCTTATGTTTTCTCAGCTGCACATCCCTTTCTATACCACAACCACCCCTTCATTTTCCACAAGCAGAAGCTCTTCCCAGAGCACAGAATATAAGATCTAGCTTGAATGCCCCCTCCTCTAATAATTCATGCCTCCCTTGGCCTTTCTACACTGAAATTTATACTTGTTTATTGTATTTTCGCCTGCTTATGCTATACCTTCATTTTGTCTCATATTACAATTTGTAATTCACATATTTGTCTTTTTTTTTTTAACTGGGCCACACATTATCTGAGGGTCATTTAACTTTCTTTCCATCTCGAGCACCTACCAGAATGGTTTGTATTTCATAAGAATTCCATGTGGTTATAGTGATTTACTATCATAGATTTGCTTTAAAATTTCTTTTTCCAGTCTCCTCTCTCTTGGATAATCTAACAAGTCACTGTTATATAACTATTAACAATTGAAATTCTGAATGTTCGGTTTTATTTTAGAATTATTTTTCATAAGCATTTGCAGTTAAAGTAGAAATTTTGCACTGATAATTTACTATTACATAGTAGGGCAGAGAAATCATTCTCTTAGCCTAAGACCATTATTAACCTGGATTTGTAAAGAAAACTTTAAAAAAAATAGAGCTGATATAGAAATTTTATGAAATCTTAGAAAAGAGGGGGGAACTTCATACATACTCCTGCCTATTAACATGTCTATTGTCAAAGCATAATGTAATCCATCAGAATAAGAATCATCTGGAATCTTGTTAGAAATATAGAATATTTGACCCATCACAGACCAGTTCATGAGTATCAACTTTTACCTTACAAATGGAAAAAAAGAATTGCTTAGAAGCAAGCCACTTGAGCCCAAAAGAGCTTGCTTTACCAAGTATCTCTCTCTTTCCAACAAATATTGATTGAAGACTTCTTACATGCCACGTGTGTCAGGATTTATAGCTGAGGAGAGAGCTAAATTACAATCAGTAATATAAAAAGGACCAGACGCAGACATTAAAAGCAGAAGCTGAAAACAAATAACTCCTCTTCCCACCAAGTCTGTTTTTAGATACTAAGTTCCAAGAATAGGAGACATAAATGGATAATTTACATCTTCTCTCTCCTTACAGTTATTTAAAACCTATAAACTTCACAACAGGTAAAGACCTGAGAATTGAAGGTCTGACTCACAACAGGAAGTTCTGAAACTAACCTGTCATCCTTACGTTTTTTGTTTTTTTTGGGGGGGGGGCTGGATTCCATCTCTCACCAGAGCTATCATTTAAGGTTTGGGGTATAATCTCTCAGTTCAAGAAGTATAAAGCCTACAGGTAATAATAATAATAATAATGTCTTTCACCTCCATTTTCAGTGCAAGAAATGTTTCTTCTTTCTTTTTCTCGTCCTATTTTAACCTGTTATTCTAAAGTAAAACTTTGCTAAAACTTTCCCCTTGTGAGATTCTCCTTGTTGTGAGACCCCTTGAAATATTTTCCATGTGTGGATCTCAAGGACCTGCAGTTTTGTGTGGGAAATGGGAAGCATCTACATCCATTGTTTAGTGCCACTCAGTGTTATTATAATAGATGCTATTCTCATCTGCAACAGTCCTGGAGGGAATGACTCAGGAATACACCGTGTATTGCCCTCTTTTTAACTGTTTTTGGGTAAATCAAGTGATTTAGCTACCAGTTTGAACTAGATGCAAAACAACTTGCTCTGAAGTGGTCCTACTTCTTTTGCCCTTTAGCGCTCACTTAGTAATGCCTCTGGTCTTCAAAATTTGACGTTTTCTTCAGATGCTCCTTCATTAACAGGAAAAGACATGATGGCACTGGGATTTGAACTCGGCTTCCCACTTGCTAGGTAGGTGCTCTTTTGCTGAGCTATGCTTCCAGACCTATTTAATGGTTTTGCTTAAGGAATGTCGTTTGTTTGCCTTAATGCCTTTAAATTTTTGTACTTAGAATATATGTGTTTGTATGCTTGAAATATACATACATATGTATGTTTAGAATATGTATCCAAAGGAAACCCAGAAAGGTGGCACTTTGAACACGAACATCTTAAGATGTTTTGTTCACAGAATGATTTTTTCCAGAATGAAGAGATTTTGTTGACTCAAAACAGCTACATGATATTTCTAATATTCTGCAGTACTTGTAAAAAGACCAATATAGTGCCCTTTAAACATCAACATACATGATAAATATCATAGACTTTTTTTAATGGGCTGCCAAACAGTATTTTTCCATAGAAGACAAAAAAAGACCTGTGGCAATAAAAATTATTCCACCTCTTAAATGAATGTTAAGAATAACCTGCATTAATAATAAAATACCTAGTGTCCATTAATGAAGATAGCATAAGGAAATTCACAGAAAGCTATTGAACAAGAGAAGGATGGGAGGACTGCAAAGAGGGTGATAAAGAGGTTTTGACTAATTAATTATAATATATGTAATTGTGATTTACCATGGCAAAACTCCTTCGTGCAATTATTTGAAACAGAAAAAATGACAAAAGACCAAAACAGGCTTGGGGGCGGGGGAAATGCCAGAAAGAGAAAGTCAATGAGGGCAAATATGGTCTGAGTACATTATATGCATGTAAGTCCATGAAATAGAACAGTGAGACCCATTGAAGTTGTTTTAAGAAGAGGAAGGGAGGTGAGAAAGAGAGATGGAAGGAGGGAGTTTTATCAAGGTTCATTATATGCATGTATACTAATGATACTTAAACACCAGTGTACAACTAATAAATGCCAATACGCCACTTTTCTGGGTTTCCTTTGGATATACAGTCTAAGTATCTATCTATCTATCTATCCATCTATCTATCTATCCATATGTATATATCCATATATCTATAGATAGATAGATACATATTCCAAGTACACACATACAAAATTTTGTTTTAAGGAGTAATCCTGAAGCTGAAATTTTAACAGGATATCAAAAAAGAGGCAATATGTAGTAGGAATTATGCACTTAGAAAAATGGCTTTGGGACATTGGAAATAGAGTGCAGCCACTTGGTGCTGAAACACCGGCTAACCTTTAGATCCATTTATGAGCCTCTGGAGTCCAGGCCTACTTTTGTTGTCTTTCCCCTGAGGCCCTCCTGAGGCCCCGAGGTTCCGCATGGCCTAGAAGTCATTCAGTGCTCTACCATGGAGGCCATGGTGTTTTTTCTTCATTAGCACCTTTGCCAAGATATTCAGTGATCTTTTTTATGGTTTTCTTTTATGTTTGTTCAGTGATTTTTAATTCCCAAAGTTCCCTTACCTTAGAAAGCCTGTAGTTCACCACCATGGCTGAGCACCACCATTTGAATGAGTAGAGCACATTGCAGAAAGGAGGAAAATGTGTTTGTGTACCTACAGAAGGCAGGGCACCTTTAAGTCCAAACTAATTACTTACACGATCCAGAAATATTGACATGGGCCAATTAAAACTTTCATTCCAAAATGAGATTTGCAAATAGTGCCTGCTGCCTAACCCAGGTCCTGAAGTTCCCAGACTGTGTTTCATTAAAAAGGACACGTAGCAGTGACTCTCCCTGCATTGAGGATACTGAAAGGAACAAATGGGACCAAGAATTCAAAAGAAGGTTCCAAGCAGGGCAGTACCAATGTGGCTGTATCACGATTGACTCTCCTGGAAAATGGCAATCATGGCACAGAATTGCTACCAAATAGTATGTAGAGTGAATGAACCGTAATTATGTAATTCTGGAAACCTAAACCATCCTTGATGGTTTATATGGTTTATGTATCTCATATAACCATCCTTGATGGTTTATATGAGATACATCATATTTTTCGGTTTCTCTGCCTCTCCTAGCTCTTTTTTGCTTTTGTGGTTTATGGAAAATGTAGTGCTTTTGGGGGGTGGGGAGTGTTCATTGCTGGGGAGGGGAGGCGTGGAAAGAAAACATTTGTGGTCGTACTGTGAGTAACGACTATAGGAAAGTCGGGGGTGGGGGAGGTGGCGGGAGCTGTCTGACTGGCCAAAGCCTTCGAGCTCCCTCGTCTGCAGAAGCTGGCTGCAGGGGCATCTGCCTGTCTGCACCCAGGGAGAGCCGGGGAGTTGGCATCCAGGGAGAGCCCGGGAGTTGGCATCCAGGGAAAAGAGGAGCTAGCAGAGGGCGCGGGATGCAGGATCGGCCCCGGAGCGCGCCAGCCAGCCAATCGGAGCGCGCTGCGCCAGCGGCCAATCACAGGCCTCCTCTCCGAGCAAATCTGCCCGGCAGTGCGGGGCGGGGCTGCCGGGAGTCCGAGCGCGGCCGCGGGTTACTCTGCTGCCGAGCGCCTTTCGGGAGACGACCCCAGGGCTGGGGCGGGGCGGGAGCGGGCGTGGGTGCCGACCCGCCCGGGAACGAAGGGGTTAGGCCAGGCCCAGCGGGTGTGAGCAGCCCGGCGACCCGTACGGAAGCCTCGATCGAGCTGGCGATGCCGCGGCCGGGCGCGCACACGTGGGTAGGAGCCCCGAGGCGGGTCTACCGGCGGCCGGGGGCACCTGTCGTGTGAGTAGCTCCGGGCGTGGCTCGCTCCCGGGACCCCCGGCTTTCCCGCGTCCGGTCTCAGTCCCGGCCTCCCTCTCCGCGTCAACGGAGTGGAACGTGAGAAGTTTCAAAGCAGCTGGGACTGAGCAGATTAAGGAAGTGGAGCTGGGGCTGGGCCGAGAGGGTGGGGACTCGGGGCGCCGGGGTAGGGGTGAGGAGCCGCCCCTCCACCCTCCGTCTCCTTAGGCGTTTGGGAAAGCCTGGCGTTGATGGACGTGGCCCTGGAGATGTCCAGGGCTGGTGATGGTCACCGAGTGAACAGCGTCTAGGCTCAGCCTTGGACGATTTGTGTGGACCAGAGGGATGCTAGCTATTAGGAGAGCGAGGAGGAAATTCAGGATGGGGACCATCTGCTCCCCCAACCCCAGCGGGACAAAGACAGCGTCGGAGGTCTGCAATGCCGACTGGATGGCCTCGCTCCCCCCTCACCTCTACGACGTCCCCCTCTCCAATCTGGCGATCCCAGGTATTCCTCGGTGCTGACTTGTTCAACCCAGTGTTTGGTTCTGCCATTTTAGTGTGGTTAATGGGTTGGGTGGGTGGTTGGTTTTTTTGTTTTTTTTTTTTCTATTGTGTTGAGAAAATAATTGTCAGTTGTGCCCCTTGGGCTTCCCAAACCAAAATTTAACAGGGAAGAAGCCTCCTTGAAAGACATGAGTACCCTGCATCTTTAGCAGAAAGGACTCTTGGAAATGGGATCACTGCACTGTTGTCTTGTTGGGTTCATGTCTACTTAATAGTCTCATCCTAAGAATGTTAACCTTCCCAGTGTTGGGCCAGGGTGTCTGAAGAGGGTATTTACTTGACTCACTGAAAGAAAAAAAAAATAAAGGTAGAGGTTTTATTTGTAGGTTGTGAATAAAAGTCATTAATAATTTTAGATCAGGATCAACACTGAAACTGAAAAAAAAAATTTCCTTTCTCTAAGCTGACCTTGTGTATATTGGAGAAAGAAACAACAACAAAACCAGATAAGCATTAGGAACTAGGTTGAGATTCAGAACCCGGGTATGAACATACATTTTTTTGTTGTTGTTGGAAAAGCCAGAAATAGAGACTGCAAGCTCTCATCACAGGTAGTCATTAGGTGTGATGAGGTGAGGGTGTTTGAAGCCTGGGCTATGTATACACAACACAGGTGTCTGTCTGGCTGAGCTAGAACTGCTGCCTTGAAAAGCACTTCTGCTCCAGCCACTTCCTGTCTGCTCAGGCATTTCCACCTGGACATCACATTCATTCGATTTGTTAAGGTGCGTTTTTCTTTCCACTCAAAAGGTTGTTAAGCCAGGGTTTCTAGGGAAGGATGCTTAGACTACAGCAAGCTTGGCCTAATATTCCCCACAAAGTCCTTTAATGCTGATGCTTGGAAAGCACTCAAGGAGTGAGGGATGGACGGCTGCCAATCCTTTCTCTCTCTTGGAAATTGAAGTTCATCTCCAGACCGACCACCAGACAAACTCCTAAGCACTCCCTGATCCTGTCTGCCTTTTTAGTAGCTGCAAAGATGACCTCATCCAACCCCCATCTTTGCTTTCTATGCATGAAGAAGGATAGCACTGGCTTCAGATGCAGACTTTTCCTTGCTCACCTCTTCTTTTGGAGGTTTTCCAGTTTCATTGTCCTCATGAGCCCTTATTGCTTTGGAGCAAGGAGTGAGCTGATAAATGTCTTTACAGTTACGATCACTTCTGTGTTTACTAGCCATTGACTACAACTCCTTGGGAAATGTCAGACGGTGCTTCTGAACATGCCTTTTCCATGTTTAATTGGTGCCTGTGGAGTCATCACCACAGTAATGCATGGGATACCTTCATCATTAGTCATTTGCCTTCAGGCTTTCAGTGGAGTTATTTTGCTGAGTGATATGGCAGGTTGTGGGGTGTGTGTGTGTGTGTGTGTGTGTGTTTGTGTGTGAGCGCGCAAACAGTATGGCATCTTAGGGCAGCTGTAATGGCCCTATCATTCATGGCATGTCTGGAATAGGTTGAGACTTCCTCCTTCCTTACACTTTGGCAGCTTCAGCAGCACAGCAGCTCTGCTCAGTGACCTGACTAAGATTCTAGAAACAAGCTGGGCATTTATTGTGCGACCTGTAGGGTTACTCGTAGTTACCAGAATTGCCATAGGAAGAAAATAGCCAGGGCCTGCTGTTGTGCCTGGAAATTCTATGATTAGTTGCTGGGGTGGGAAGTTGTTTAAGAATTTGTTTACTCTGCTTTCTGGAGTCAAATCCTGCTAAGAAAAAAATGGCTTTGACTCCTCAAAAGATGCTAAATTCACTACTGTGAAATGTCCTTCTTGTGAAATGTCCTTCTTGCAGGAGTAGAAGGGACATAAGTCCATGTATATGTCAGCTCATACAGGAGAATCTCATACTTATTAAGTACTAACCATTAGTGGACTCTACTAGTTTTCCTTTCTGTACCTGGAGTGTCATTCTCCCCATATAAAGGCTTGCAGTCAAAACCTGCTAAGCCTTGCTGAGAAATGCTGAAACATGTAAGCTATTCCAGAAGTGGGACAATCATCTTTCTCTTCCTTTCCATCATAATATCTATTCTTCACTGAACTCTATTCACCCACTGACCTGTATGATCTCAAGTCCTTCCATTTCGATGAAGAAGTAGGTATTGTCATCCTCCATTTAGAAATGAGGAACTAACTGGCCAGAAACTTTTAAGTGATTGCCTCCAGACCACACAAATGCAAAGTGGCAGAAATAGCATTTAAACTCTTCTGTAGCTAAAGTCACAGCCCTTGAGAGGGACCTGGGAAGTGGAGGAGGGGGACCCAGAACAATGGAGATATTCTCTTACTGAAAACCAACTTTCCTAAGCTATACTCTGCAGTCAGTGAAAGAAATGGTCAAAACCAGGTGGTTTTTATATAAGTGATGAAAAAGCATTTGTGAAGATTAGACAGAGAAAAAGAGCTAGATAAATGTATACATATTACATATCTAAAAGACTGATGATAGATGATAGGAAAGTAGATGATACATATATACATACATACGTAGACAGATACCTATATAGATATACAGACTGATACCCTTGTTTAGAATTGAAACCCAGTAAAATTGAATTCAAATTTACTGCTTTGATTTGTATGCTTGTGTATCTGTGTGTGTGTGTGAGAGAGAGAGAGACAGAGACAGAGAATGCACATGCTGATCTGTGGCATCTGTAAGTCTGGGAAGGTCTATCAGGGGGTTTGGGACAACAGTGGCATGGGATAGGTCAGGGAAAAGGCAGAAGATTTTGTCAATACTAGCAGAGCAGAGATGGAGTGAACTATGTTAGATTTCCATGCACCTGCCTAGGTTGTGATGGGCAAGAACATGTGTGAGTATGCCTCTCAACAGAGCCTTCATGTATTATTTTATTTCTGTACCTGTCAGGAACACCTGTTAATTACCAGTGCCATCCAAACATATTGAAATATTTTAGAGAATAACCTTAGAATAATTTTTCATTGCCAACTGTACAGAACCATTGATGTTTGAATAGTTTTTTAATTCAATTAAATCAAAGCTTTAAACTACACTTATCTTTTTTTTTTCCTTTATCCCTTGTCCTGGGGCTTGAATTCTGGGTCTGGGCTCTGTCCCTGAGCTTCTTTTGCTCAAGGTGAATGCTCCACCACTTGAGCCATAATGCCACTTCTGACTTTTTTGAGTAGTTTATTGGAGATAAGAGTACCACAGACTTTCCTGACCAGGCTTGCTTCAAACCATGATCCTCAGATCTCAACCTCTGAGTAGCTAGGATTAGAGGCGTGAGCCACTGGTACCCAGCACCAGTTATGTTAGAAAGCAAGATATTTCCTATGGACCAAGAGAGAAAATATTTTTGATAATATATGCTGAATCTCAAAGAATTGCTTTTTATCTGTATATCTTGTTCTATGTTATATAATTTTTCTTTAAACTATGCTTATTCTTTTTTTTATTAAAGGAAACTGTTTTGTCAGACCCTTGAACTTAAAGGTCTCACATCTGTTTTTTCATTTGAGTTATGATATTGAAGGAGCACCTAAAGTTCTTTCTTTTCTGATTTTGATATTGAGTTAACTGAAATATAGCATCCAAATTAAAAATTATTTTATTGATTTGAGGGTTTTGTTTTGCTGTTGTTGTTATTGTTGTTGCTCTTGTTGCTTTGTCTGTTCTTTGTCCAAATGTAGGAGAAAAGGAAAAGAATAGTTGGTTGCGTTCAGGTTTAAAGGTTATTTAAAAATGACTTGTTGGTGTATGCCAGAGAGAACTCACAATTGCCCAAAGAATGATTTCTCCTAAAGTGGGATTGACTCTAGCATCCTAAAAGTTGATCTAAAGGAATTTTCACTTCTTATCATGAGTGCATTTTAAGAATCTTCCATACCCAGGATACCAAAAGATGAGTCAACCCTACTGCCAAAGAAGTTTACAATCTGGTGATAGATAGCTTTCTCTATATATCTACCATATTTAGTACACCATATTTAGTACTGGGAAAGAACAGTTTGAAGATGAGAAAATACTTCAGTAAGAAAATGGCATTTGACCTAGATTTGAAAAGTTCTAGATTTGCCGGGCGCTGGTGGCTCACGCCTGTAATCCTAGCTACTCAGGAGGCTGAGATCTGAGGATCGCGGTTCAAAGCCAGCCCGGGCAGGAGAGACCGTGAGACTCCTATCTCCAATAAACCACCAGAAAACCGGAGTGGCGCTGTAGCTCAAGTGGTAGAGCGCTCGCCTTGAGCTGAAGAGCTGAGGGACAGCGCCCAGGCCCAGAGTTCAAGCCCCACAACCGGCAAAAAAAAAAAAAAGAAAAGTTCTAGATTTGAAAGAGCTATGGCTTGGAATTTGGGGTTGGGGTTGGGAATTCAGGTTTAGTTAATTGCAATTAAGCTAAATAATGAGAATATATGTCAGAACTGGTGGGAGAAGGACATACTCTCTGCTATGTCTCCATTTCCCTACTTAGTACCTGTATCATGCACTTATCATGTTGTTATGTTATGGGCCCATGAACAATTTGCAGATAGTAAATATGACTTCTTAAAAAATAATCCTAGGTCCTAATAGTTGTTAATATCTCAGTCATTGGTGACTGTTGCATGTTTGGGAATGTGTGAGAATGCTGGAGAACTCTCATAGTCACCATCATTTCCCATTGCCATCAAGACTAAACTAAATGAATTGGCCATGTTCACCATTCACGCATAGCCCACATGAAGCCATGTGAAGATTTTCCCCACCCATTCCTTGTTCTTTGCCACATTCCTGAAGCTCCATCAAAGGTTCATCAGAAGACCCCTTAGAGATGACAATTGTAAGGCAGAGGAAAGGTTAGGAGAGTTAGAAGCAGAACCCTGGCTTACCTTCTCTTCTGAAAGTAATTCTTTGACCTAGCCTCCCTTCTGTCTTTCTTTTTTTTCCTTTCATCTCATCTTTCCTGCCTGGCTACTGCCTCTTCGTTCTCCC